TAGGTCTGAGGAAATTCCTGATTTTGCATGTCTGATGACATGTCCCCAGGAGAGTTCATGTTTCTCCTCTACTGAGCCCAAAACAAGGTGGAGATGATATTGGAGGGGTTGGACTCTCATAACCTACTTATCTTGGATTCCTGGGGAGGTAATTGTGGTCCTTTCAAGTTCGGGGAAAATGCAAAGGGCTCAGATTCGGTCTCATATTTTCTGTGCTTGACAGACAGGAGACTGGTATGTCAGACAAATCCATAACAGACATGCATACAGGTGTTCCTGTCAGAACCCAGTTGACAGTTAGCTGGAAAATTGCACTTTTGTCTTGACATCTGCAACATATTTTGAAAAGCATAAATCCTCTTTGTCAGCAGTAAAATGACCACTTAGAGATTTTGCTCTGTAGAAGGGGGAACACTATTTATGGAAATCATATAGACCAACATGTTTTTTTGAAGACGTCCAAGTGCCACAGGGTTAATCATGTGGTTGTGCAGTTTCTTTATTGTTGTTTTTCCAGTTGTGTGGCTCTTCAGTCCCCGCTGGGCCATGGTATATATAACAGGGACCAGTTCTACAAGGCCAGAGGTTGGCCCCTGAGAGGTTTGAAGTGTGCTGTCTGCCAGCATCCCTCCTGCATGGTGTAGGCTGTTTCTGACTGCTGGGATAACCCAGAGGTCCCACCAACAATGGGCTTACTTCTGTCCCCATCCCAGCCTGTGTTCTCAGCTGTTCCCATTGGTCCGACCTCAGCTGATGTAAAATCCTCCAGGATCTGTCCCACTCCTCCTGAGATCTACACTTGGCAGCAGGCAAACAACGACTTCAATGTGTCATGCCAAAAGTTTTTCACCAATGTACTGGTAAATGGGCCAGGCATTGCCTTTCATCTTGTTCCAGTGGCCAATATTGGGCTGACCTTCCTGCTATTGAATCAGGATGTGCTGTGGTTCTCAGGGGACCACTTGGACAGTTTACAGGAAGCATCACCTTCACCTTACAACTATACTTTTGAAAAGCCTCCATCCAAAGAGCTTTGAAAGACACTTTCTATGAAGCACGTTCTGCTAAAGCTCTCCAGGTGCAAAAATGTAATTGTGGTCTTGTATGTTGTCCTATAGGGAACATTGACACTGACAGATGAAAATCTGTATAAGACCAATGTTTGAAGCTTTGGAAACATTGGACTTCCTCAGAACAGTGCTGAAGGTTCTGAACTGCTTCTAACAACCAGTTGGTCGTGTGAAATTGAAATTTCCTTACATTTTGGTTCTCCGCTCTCCTCTTTTGAGGACAAAAGTTGCTAAGGACCACCCTGCTTCTCTGTTTGCCTCACAAACACACTTCATGACATACACCAAGATACAAGGAATGCATTCAATTACATTTGTCAATTTTTCAAACTCTAATTGCTACTTGAAATGTGGGTGTGTTCCAGGCACAGTGACAGGAGTGCCATTGATGAACAGTGCTTGCAGTATGACCTCATTTATATGCAAGACATGTCCAGGGTAATCTGCAGCGGCAGATGTTTTTGCTCATGTTTGATATGCCAACAATGCCATAATGAACCAAAAAGCTTTGTTCTTATCAACACTGTTTCAACAACATGCATGTATAGATCAGAAGAAATAAATTCTCCATTGCCAGCATGTCTTCCTTAGTATTTTAGCCATGTCTGGTAGATTTAGCCGAATCGAATGGACAACTTTTCAATATCCTAAACAGCTTTCGGTAAATTAAAACAGATTAATAAATCATTCGCAGTTTTTAAACTAAGTTTTCCATTTTGAGATCAGATGTAAAGCATGGTTCTGGTCCCTTTAAATTTTCTGTTTGCCACCAGCTTGTACCAACACAAGCTCTGAATCTTGATGGGTCTTTTAACTCTTTCCAACAAAAGAAAGACTTTGTCCCATTTAAAGACTTTGTGTGCCTTTCAGTATGCTGTAGGCCTTCCCTTCTCAGCCTTGAACAATGGTCCTTTGAATGTATTTCTGCTGCTTGTAGTTTTGCAGTATGCTGTTACGAGTTTTGAATTCATGGATGTGATTAAACTAGACCTGAAAGACAGAAAGAATACGCCTTCAAAGGCTATTACAATACGATATCAGGATTAGAAATGACTAGATAGATTCTACCAGTTTATTGAAAGAGAAGTGAAAGTAAAAGTGAGATGAAGAGAGAAGAATTAGAGGTAAATTTCTTTGTTCTTTTGTTTGTAGTGGGTTTCCTTTTCTGATGGAAACAGAGATGGGTAACACCTTTGTTTTCTCACCTGGATGTCAGTCTCTCAGCCCCACCTGGCCAGCAGGTGGTCTGTTGGAAGAGATCACAAAGGAACACCTAACAGACAATACATCATCACCATACCCTTTGTTTTGTGCCCTAACAGTTAGGCGTTAATGGCAGATTTTCAAGAGTGATTAGAGCTAGGTGACAATGCCATTATCACCCTCTTTCTAAACTGTAATCCCATATAGTGACAAGGTTGATTTTTGCCATCTTGGCATGCACTGTGGTTCTGATGATGTTTTGTGATGATTTCCATGACTTTGTTCTTGTGTGGTTGTGTAGCTGCAGGTACAGAGACAGTCTGTATGGCCTTGGGCAATTTCTGTTTCTGACATACTCATGATTGATATGCAGCCAGCTGGATGAATTGATTTCAATGTTTCTACATTTCTACATTTGTTCCATGTCTTTTAACATGTCTGTGAAAATGTAATGAAATGTAATAATTCTGGACTTATCCAACCACCTGTTTTGTTGTTTGTAACTGTGAAGATTACAAAATTATATGACAAATCTGCTCGAGTATTTTGTATGCCATCAGAGTACATGCACACTATTGACCCTAGGGTTTTGGAATTAGTAGAAACAGTTTTCTTGATCTTCTTGGAATTCTGATTAAAGTACATGTATATTGTACTTTTACCTATGTTTCCCTATGATGCAGGTCCTTGCAGTATCCAGTTACAAGTTTTAAACCAGAAGCTTTTTGTATTGATAAGACAAGACAAGGAAACGTAATGTCTAAACCCTGTCTTTGTAGTTAGTTGATGTCCTAAAAACAGTGTGTGTGGAAGTAAAGTATATCCTCTCTGTGTACCAAGGCTTAGCAGTAAGATCTCTGCTATCCCAAGGGCCAATATTTGAGCAGGTGAAGCCTGTGATGGTCATGTGAAGTCAGCACCATTGTTGGGTCGGGGTTTCAAACAGCTGGGCAGCGCACTAAGCTGCTTTATAAACTATGTTAATTCTCGGCAAGGATTCCTGTTGAAGACCCTCTAATTGGCATTTTTCTGAAGCTGGTTTCCTTTCCATGGTACAATACAATGCAGACGTGAAAAAAATATTCACATTAGTGTCTGTTGTGAAATATTGGAAGGGCATGGGAACCGATTAAAAAGTAATTATTGTGTAGAACTAATAATGGTTTCCAACTCCGTATAGGTAGTTCGGGACCACTTAGCTCCTTGCTTGGTCACAGGAGTGATCCTTAAATCCTTCCTAATTGTAGGATCCTTTAGAGAGGCTACAGACGCTTTCTGTCGTTAAGAACGGGCACATGTCGGACAGAATTGGCGGGATGGAGGAACCTTTTGATTCGCGATTTCTTGGTACAGACAATTGTGTTGGTGGGCGGGAGGCTGGATGAATAGAGGAGCAGATGTGGTGGAAGCCTGTAGAAGTAAACTAATGAATACAGCCCCTTTCTGACTGGAAATTTCACGGTGAAGTCTGTTACTGAGGTATCACCTGGCATGGGGAACTAAATTTGCTGAATCTGATATTGTATTGGATACACTACTATTAGTACTTAGGGACCTCCTTGATATAATATGAAGGCTTTTGAAAAGTTGAGACCATCAAGAACAAACTGTTAGAGAAATATTGAAGATTGTTCCATGGTAGTTCAGCATTTACTTGTCGTAACATCACAGGTGAGAATGTTGAATGGCAGAAACGGTTTCTGATGAGATGGACACCGGTACTCCCAGCGTCCACAGGTCTGGCGTGAGACCTCTGTTCATAAGGCGCCCATTACTAACCTGGAACAATGGCATAATGGCTTTGGAACATGTTTGTGATGGGCGTCCCTGCTGGGTGGGTGGGGGGCAGGAGGGGCCGCCAGCTGCCACCCTGTCCTGCTGCTGGGTCGTGGCACAGACAGAACAAAGGGACATCCCCTGCCTGGCAACCTGTACTGCCTCTCAACTCCCTTTACAACCACATCTCCGGCTGGAAATGAAGCTGGTCAGCTTGGGTTGTGCTTTTTGTCCTGGATATACGCACGTAACTTTTATGTCAGACATGTCTGACGATCCTGAAGGAAGGATGTTGTTGAAAGAGCTTCCCTGTTCCCACCAGCGAGAGCTCCACAACCACTTTGCTGAAAAATGTAAAGCATGCCAAATTGCATGCTTCATATCCCGAACGTAGACCTATATGCAACATCCATACTGGAAGGCAGCTGTGTCCTATATACCAACTGTACCTTGGGTTTGGAGGCAGTTACCTAGCTTTTTCCTTTCCTCTGAACTTGATGTTGGGGAATAAAGGCCAAGTTTCTACATCATTCTGGAAATTCCAACCACATGTGGGGGTAATGTTAGATCTGTATCTATCCTTGTAACATAACCAGGGCACCCTCCATTCACAAACTTGGTGGTATTCCCAAAGCCAAGGCCAACACTAATTACATTAGAACCCAGGGTCAACAACAATGGTGTGGCGACAGGATGTGTTCAGTGTTGCAGACCTGCAGGGGTTGGCAGACTTGAACCCCATTAAACTGTTGCATGGTAGTGAAAGAACTTTTCCTCATGCCAATGCTATGCCTCATAAATTTTGTCTCTAGGTATTCAACATTAATTCAATGCATCTTTTTCATTGCAGTTACATTGTGGGGATGCATCTTGGTTCATCGCTAACATAAATTAACAAAGAAAGAATAGATTGTACTGTAGCTAAGCCTTTTTTGTTATTTTGTTTTTCAGACCTTTGTCTTCACTGATTCTGATGACCAACAGCTAAGAAGCAGACTAGGTAAGCAGTCATTTACTCCAGAAAACCATGTAATACTGGCCTTTCCATCTATTCACTTGAATTGAGTGTTCAGATTTCAGCAATACCCTTATGTCTTATCTTTGGTAGTATGAATAAAAGCTTTGGTAACCACAAAGACAACTGCCCAGTTGTTTCCCACAAATAAGGTGTGCTCACCCAGCCAGGCTTTGCACACACAACACATCAATATTTGGACTAGTTGACACAACTCGCTCCCAGCCTATGGCCGCACCTTGACTGATCTAGGCTGTGCATGGCTACTTAACAGAAGTAGTCCCAGAAACCTGTGTGATGACAAGGATACAACTGGCTGTTTCAAAAGGCCGGCTGCTTTGTGCTGCTGAAGAAAGGCAATCACAACATGCACTTGTCCTTCCAAAAACTGTGCCTCACAGCCAAAACAATGGCTGTTCATAAAGTCCAACCCGGCGACTTCTGGGTTCCATTTGTGTACACAAGGATGGGAGCCGAACATAATGTAGAAATTAGCTAAATCTACAAAAGTTTTTCAGCAGTCAAAGCATTCCTGCTTTCTTTATGTTGGGATCAAGAGCTTGAAAGGTTGATAAAGTGTTTGTGTATACTAAAAGGAGAAATCGATGTGCGCCATCCCTAGAAAACTCTCGTAGTCACTGTGCCTTTCAAGTTTTCCAGACAGAAACACATGTATAACTGCTAGCTAACAGGTTACAACACAGCCTTTGTAGACAGTGGTCTAGTGTGCTTCATTAGGCTGGCATCCAAAAAGATTTGGCTGACAGGGATGGTAGTCTGACGAACAGTTTTTCAACAGGAGCTACTGAATTAAGGCAGGGTTTCCTGGTCGTTAAAGCAAGTAATCTTGAATCTGTCAGAAGACCATGTAAATGGTTCATGAACAGACAGCTGATAAGCAGTGCTTTGGTTCAAACTTTATAAGGAAGTGCACAGATAACAGGTGTCTGCCCAAAAGCCATTCACAGACTGTTAGGCCTGTCTGTCAGTGGTGTATTTGGAAGTAGGTCAACCTGAAGAAGGACCACCCAATTGTCCAGACAAGCAAGATCTAAAGTAAACACAGAAGATATCCCTGCATATTTTATACTTGTGGCAATGAAAACTTGTAACATCTTTTGTTGCCTTGTCAGTTAAATCAGCTTATCATGTTATTTGAGCACTAAGTGGAAGGCAGTTTTTCCTATGGGATGTCTACAATAGACAGTGAGGCAAAGATAGATATGATTTCTACAATAGTGCAAAGTAGTGGAAGGAAACCAATTGTCTTATAAAGGCAGTGAAAGATGGATCAGTATCACAAAGGTGACAACTAGATCACAAGTGCTGGTACTTTTTACAAGAGAGCAATCAAATATTGATGATATTTGTTGTCTGGCATTCATACCTTACATAAAGGTTGGCAGGATGACACATGCTGATGGACCACAAATGATATCACTTGGGATTATGGTTTTCAAGTCCCCTTCTGAAAGCTATGCCCCACTTCAAAAAGGACACATGTTGTTTTTTCCCATGACCCAAATAGACCCTGTATTTGATATCTGTCCCCACTGGCAGACATCCTGCTTACTGTAAAGTACCTTTTGTGTAATAACACACATCCTTTGCACCTGGCGTGGGCAATTCTCTACCATTACCTGGTTTATGGTACTATTGTGTTAAACAATGAATCTCACATTCTGGATCATTCTTCACATCTAGACACAGCTCCTTTCTTTAACTTTCAACTTGATTTTCAAGAAATTTTACAGAATGTCAAAATTCACTAATGATAACTCTTCAAATAAGATGCAACTGTACAATTACGGAAAAACATTTGTACAGGTTACCTGGTAACTTTTGATAGGTGAATGCCCTGTCTGACATTAGGACTAGGCACATTGATCCTTGCAAAAAGAGGCTTTGTACATCATTGTTAGATCTGAGTAAAGCAGCCAGGGCTATATCCATTCTTATCAGGTCTGATACCCATTTTGTCCTCAAAGGATCCGACAACAGATGCAATCTCAAGTTCAGGATTTCCTGAGACCGCTCTACCCACCTTTATGTGTATTTTCACTGAAAATTTTCCCACCCAAGGTTGTAAGGAAAGTACAAATAAAATCTTGTTATCAACTTGAAGTTGGCATCTGGTGATTCTATCAACAAAAGATTTACAGGTGTACTGAATGTCCCACAGGATTTTGCAAGATATCAAAGCACTTGTATGAGGCTGACATAAACGGCCCTGTGTATCCAGTAGAAATCTTATCTGCCTGTGCAGGTAACAATCTGGAGTTGTTGTAGTACTGATAAAGGCTCCCTGTAGTGGCAAGCTTGGGATCTTACCCTTGAATAAACAAGACTTAATGTAGGGGCCTTTAGAAGAAGTTTATTTAGGTTGTTGGTAGAGGTTTGGACATCATATTTGTGTTGCACAGAAAAGGATCCATTTACCGTGGTTTGCATAGGGGTGACTCCTGCCCTTTCAACTACAGAAACTCGATCTGCGCCGTTTTGGTTCTACCAGGGGGATGACTGTAAGTTTATTTAAGCAGGTACTTCATAGGTGAGCTCCTATTACACACCGTGCTGTTTCGTCATGCGAAAGTCTGTACAGAAAACATGAAGGCCACTCTCCCTCAAAATTTTAAGAAATTTCAGCATGACGGAAATTAACAGATTATCATTCCTTTCCTAGTTGGAAGAAATGTGCAAGGATACCAGCATTTTATTATAATTATCTGTTCTGTCTGATTAGGTTTAAAAGTGGCATATGTCAAGTCAAGGGACTGTTGACGTGTTAAAAAGGACTCTGAGTTGGAGGAAATAAAAGTGGTCGGGTTGGAGGTGAAACTTATTTCAATGAGTACTTCAGAGTCTCTTGACACCACCAATATAGTCTGCAATTGTGACGGACAACTCTATCCTGAAACATGTGAAGAACTGTAGAGCTTTCTACATGTCAAGGGCATGCTGTTGAAATAATAGAGAGGTCAAGGGAGCAACAGGATTTGGGCAAGTTGTAAGCAGACTTTGTAGCCCTTGTAACAGCACATATTGATTTTCTATCGATTTGACAGAACTTATATGATATGTGATCCAAAAATAAACTAATTCAATGTTGAGAGCTATACAAAACCCATTAGGTTCAGAAATATTGTAGTTGAAAGTGCACTTTGAAAAAAATAACTCATGCAGCGTTGCTTCTTTTCTTATGGGGTTGTACTGCTGAGTAATTTGGGTCTCAAAGATTGCAACATGCTAGCAACTGTAAGCAAGGGTTTTGAGATACAACTAATGCAGTATCTTATAATCAAAGGCCAATACAAGACAATGGAATATGCCCAAAATAGTTTTTGGTCCACCTACCTACCTACATTGTATTCCCCGTTCTGTTCAACAATTGTAGCCAAGTATGTTTACTTGCAGGGCATTCCATATATGTGTGATACCATAACTGTTCCCTGGATCAATGTAGACATGTTGTCAACATCTTAACCAGGAATATTTGTTGCCACGTTGTGTAAGATTTATTGTTCTGTGTCTCCTTTTCACTTGATAAATGTTGTATAAGACAAGAGAAAACAGTGCAGTGAAGTATCCTTTCAGTACCATGTATGTTGGTGTGTTGATGAAGGTCACACTTGATCTTACTGTAAATAAGATGTTTCCTCTATGTCTTACAGGTGACCACCTGATCAACACCAACTGTTCCAGCTCTCACATGAGGTAAGAACCATCTTCCACATGTACTAACACATGTACAGCACCCAAGCAGCTGACTTGAAGCAGATTTCTCATTTTGGAAGATCCTGTTGTGTAGATGTGGTGAATCAAGAACTACCATGGATAACTTTAACTGTCCATGAAAATAAGAAGAGCAGTCAAAAGGTATGGTTTCCTTTTGGCTTTGCGAGGACCATTACAAACATTTCTAGTGGGATTTAGACCTTTAACCTTGACAGTATTTGTATGATACTTGTAACATACTGGAAACAAGTATGTGAACATGATTCTACCAAAAACACCAGTAGACTTCTATGGTTTGAAAGTTTTCATTGTCCACAGCAGTTTTTCTGTCACTCTGAGTGACATCCTGGGAAGAAGATGTCACCACACCCCAGGGGGATCTGTCAGATGAACTCGTCCATCTTCCAAAAGTATGGGAAATCAGATAAGATAACAGAAGTGATCAAACACTTCATTAATATGAAAGGGATTTCATACCATGCTTAATTAGGTACAGTCTAATCCAAATTAATGGATTAGATTGTAGACAATGGCTAAATTTTCAAGCAGGCTCACAGGGAATTAAGCCGCTGCTAAGTATGTGAGTTATAATGAGATGAATCTGTGAAACAAAAAGTATTGATACCTTAATCATTGGTGAAGTAGAAAATGTCATTGGGGCTGGGAACATTTTCCATCACTTTTTCTACTGTTATAACATCCAGTCACCTCCGTATCTGGACTACACATACCATTCCTCTTTGTAAGGAGTGAATGCACCTGCATCAGTGTGTCCAATCTTCCTGACAAGTAGCTGAGCACTGGCAGCAACTGCCATCTCACAAATCTGCCCAGGTTACTGGGTGGTTACATGCCTGGCTCAACCTTCCTGCCTCTTGGGCCCAGGCTGGTGTGTTTAGTGGCTTCCAGCAAACCCAGAGGGAGAAGGAGGGAGGTTTGGAGTGTGGCTGCCTCCCCCTCAGGTTATTAGGTCAGAGAGGGACGGAACTTACAAGATTTCTGCTGTAGAGAGATTGTAGGACTCACACTTTAAAGGGAAACACATTTGAAACACTTTAATCCTCTGATAGAACACAAATTTTGGCAGATGAAAAGGCAGTTTGTAAGAATGTTTCCCATCATCCCTTGGGAAATCAATCCTCAGTCAATGCCCTTGAATGTAACAAAAACAATTGCATCTGTTAGTATTCTCTTCGAGAAACAAAATATGATCAGCAAGTCAACTGTGTTTAATCTACATTATTGTATCATGCGGAACTGAAACATTTTTTGTTAGTGGGTGAAATTGCAACTGGTTTCCACTTACATCAACATTCAATATTTTAGACAAAACAACTCCAGCATTGGTATTACACTGAGTCTGTTATGCATACAAATACCTTCCGGCTCCAGCAAGTTCCTGTAATTCCAAAAAAACAATTTATCAGTTCATTTCCATTCATGTGGAACTTTATGATTTAAGAATGTGATATCATGTATTCCCTTGTTCTGAAGTAATGTTTTATTGTTACCAGCTGGGAGGTCTGTTGGTGCCTGTTTAAAGTCTTTCAGCATGTAATGGTGCAATATTTCCTGTCTGAAGTTCTCAACTGTGCGGTTTAATCTGTTGTGGTGTCCCCTGTGAGGACTTTTGTTATTGTTCAATCTCCTACAATGTCAAACTCTGTGGAGATGGCAGCTTCGTGTGTCTGTTTGCTTTTCAGAGACAGCCCTAGACCCATTCTGGCATGAATCAGTTTGTCATTTTCTTCTGGTATTTCAGTAACATTAGGAGCAAAAAATCATCCTGACCTGTAGATGTTCATCACACCTGAATTTTAGCCACCTGTGGTTCATCTTGGGAACTGCAGCTGTGTGATGCTCAGTTTTTGAATTTTTAAAGGAAATCAGTTGCTGTCCTTGTTGTATACCACAGAAATTCTATAAAATGTAAAAGTGTATTATTTTTTGTACGAAAAAGTTACATTTTCGTCCCAGAAGTTTTGAATGGACACGGCAAGTGGTACAATAGACAGCATTTGCCCTCTGACCTGGACCTGTTGTCTGCCATAGCAGCAGGGGGGTGTAACAAATTGATTAGACCATGGGGAAAATTGGAAGTTGGTGATTGACAACCGTGAGAGCATGAAGGTGACATTGACTTGACCAGGGTCAGTGTAATTTTGATGTAGATAACAAGGTATGTTGTTTGAAATAGGTGGATGGTCAGTAATTGATGGATCACGGATTCCAAGGGCCAAAGGGGTCAGTTGTGCATTACTGGTCAGTTTTGTCCTGGACAATGCAAAAGTATTTAGTTTATCAACAAGTAGCTTACTACAAGTAGCTACCCAGTACATTAAAAAAATGCACCTCTTGTTGAGATGGCCAATATCTCTCAGCTGTGTTGTGTAGGTGTTTCAAACCTGAAAATTGTAGCTACAAGGCCCCATCCACTTTTCATAACATTTTACAGTCTGCTACAACCTCTCTCACTGGTTATGCAAATTACTGGCAATGAAGGTGCAGTCACCTCAGTCATCAGGGTATAATTTCCCACCTTTGTCTGTCCTTGTTCCTGGGAGTTCTCCAGGGGTGCAGGGCAGAATGGGAGGTGATTTGTTTGCAGGTGTTCCCCTCCCACCAAACCAGATGTGCAGATATTGTTTGGGAGGGCATGATTAGGGGGTAATCTGGTCATGCACTTATCAATGTGTGCAGGAACAGGGGCAGGCTGTAAATGGGACAGGGGTTGTCATTCCAAACAACATTGTTACATACTATTGCAGACTTTTTGTGATGATGGCTGGTTACACATACATGAAAGAAATTGAGAAAACATTAAAATATGTATTATCACGTTAAAGCTAAAGCATGATGATGATGATGGTATAACAGTACATCTGCAATTCCATTCAGGATCATGATAAGGACTCAATAGCCAGTAATATTGTGGTGAAATACTAGTAAGGTCCAAGTTATCAAAGATCTAGCAATATCTCAAATACTAATTTAAAAGAATCTGTTATGACAGACAGTCAGTGCTCATTAAAAAGTAAAACAGTGTTGTTGCCCCCACTTCTCCTTTTCTTTTGATAGCTGCACAGAGGAAACACCCCATAACAAATTGTTCTGACAGAAAACACTTGGAGGTCACACTGAAAGGTTCCCTAGGTCATTGTGGAGGGGAGACAAAGTGAATATTTCTCATACTTTCAGTAGAATCAAATTCCTCTTTGATTAGAATGTTGCATTAATTTGGGAGAATTGTTATGGGGGAGGCACTTGGTATGATTACTCGGAATATTGTTTTTTTTAGTTACTCTAATGCTTTCTTTTCAACGCTGAAGAAATTGGAGGATTAACCATGTCAGAGAGCAGGTTACTGTAGTAGAAAACTCATTGAGTACGATGTCAAGCAAGCTTAACTTTGTTGTGTTAATTAAGAAATTCCTCATAATAACTGCAAAAATATTTTGCTAGAAAACAGAAGACCATTGAGATTTTTTTTTTCTGGCTTGTAGGAATGTAGATCTAGCTTGGATGTACGTTACTACGTAGATTATTATACAAGAAAAAACGGTGAGCTAAAGCCGTCATATTCTTAGATGAAATATGAGACGGCAAACGTTTAAGGTTCGTAGAGTCTGTAGTATTCTTGAGGTAATAAGGAATGATTTATGGCATGTTGAGACTAGGTTGGTGAACGGTTATCGCACAGTGTTTACAAGTTCAGGTATTTCCTGTTCCTACCCTAATGTTGCATGTTTGTCTAGCCTGACCACTTTGGTATGTTCTCACGCTTGCTAGCACTTCTGGCGGTTTAACCGTGAAGGGGAGCAGAATCCTGAGATATATGTGTGAATGCCACGTAGGGATCAAAGGGATCATTACGGGCTACGTAGTCATGAAATCTTCCCACCTACACAGAAATCAGCAATTTGGGAACTATTATAAGCTTTGGTTTAAACGTCTGGTGATTTTAACCATGACGCACTGGTAGAGATGAGTCCTGGGATGTACGTGTGAATATCACATCATTGTACCAGGGATGACATCAAGTTACAGGTAAAGTGCCCAAAGTCTACATGATACATCATAATCAAATGGAAATTATGGGTTAGGTAGCTAGAATAACCTTGATCTTTTCATATCATATAATCTTCCCACCTACACAGAAAGTATTCTGCAACAATTTGGGAACTATAACAAGCTTTAGTTTAAAACCTGTCTAAAGTCTCTGTCTGAAGCGTTGGCAGACATAGTCTTTACTGTAAGCCCAGTGGGATGATGTCATAAGAGAGAAATGACAGGGGCGGCCGTGCCAACAATGCTGCATGACAGAGGTGTGACAAAGGTGTTTCAACAGGTCCATTGTGAGGAGAGTCCTGGAAACTAGTGTCGGGTCATGAACTGTGCAGTTCCTGACTGTGACTCAGCTTAAGTCTTACTGCAATCTTTTCTTCTTATGGAAAGCTTTTAAATAAAATGACCTTTCTTTCCATCACTACTAACTAGCATATCTGTTTATGTGTATGTCTGCATGATACCCTTGTTTCTGACAATTGCCTCTTGTGTTCCAGACAGGCCCTGTGCTGTAAGATGGCTGTGGAGTATGACATGTTCCTGCAACAAGACAAAAGGTCAGCTGATGTTCCCTGCTATTCTGTGACACTACTGTTACATGTACCAGTTGTATGCCCTTTCAGTACTGTCAGAATCTTAGCCTTTACCCAACTCTACATGTTAGCTTGGTGTAAACTTCTGTTCATGGGCTTTTGAATCTTTGAAAGATCAAGTTGGCTAGATGTATGCAGTTTTTTACTTGATAAACGTAACAGGAAGTAACTTCACATTGTAGAAATAGCTTCAAAGACTTGGAATGACACCAAGCTGGAAAATGAAGACCCCTTGTTGTACCAGCGAGCGGTCTATGATTCACTCCATGGTGCCCAAACATCCATGTTCTGCCCATTCACTTCATGGATGAAGTCATTGGGGTGAATGCCTGTGGTGGCACCCTGTTGCCATGGCAATGTCAACCAATCAAACGTCAAGCACAGTTTCTTCCCATCATTGCCTATGGACACAGACATCCCTTTGTCTAGTTGAAGAGATTGATTGAACTTTAAACAGAGCTTCAAACTGGTCACAAGGAAGTCAGACGTCACTGATATGAATGTTGGTAAAGATCTTCACACTGCAGCTGACCCGTGTATGCGGCACCTTTGGCAGATTTGTATCATGTTCCTGAAAGAAATGCAGAGAATTTGATGGACAAGTTGTCAGGAGAAACCTTCATGGGAAATCTTTGGCAAACAAACTGTTGGTCATTTGTTGCTTGGCTGGCATGTGCGTGCATACTTGGCAGGCACCACGGCAGCCACCGTATCCTGTTTCGTATTCAGTGCCACTTGTCGCCATGTATCCGTTACACGACTGGTGCCACAAGAGAACCCAGAAAGGGACAACTTCTAGAGTCATAATCCTTAACATGGAAAGAAAAAATACAACAGAATGCAGACAGTGAGTGAAAAGTGTTACAGGGCTTGAAATCTCATTGCACATTCTACTATAACCAATCAGGCATGAAATTGAGATGTTTCGGCGGCTGTGAACATTGGCATGTTTCTAAAAAATTATCAAACATGAAGAAGGGTCTAACAAGACTGGCACTTTATGGTACAGGAGTTTGAAGGAGCGATCTCAAGTGCTAATGTAGTGAGAAAGTCATCTGGTTGATCTGAAAAAATATGCAACTTAGAAGATGATAACAAAGTTGTAGTGAAATTATTAAAACTGTAAGTACATGTAGCTTGAAAAGGTCCTGAGGGATAAACATGCCAAAGAAAATGAGATGACTGTTGCCTAATCTCCTGTCACTCTTTTTAGAAAAATTGTTTTAAGATCGGGACAAATCTTTTAAGATGTGCATTGTTGTCGTAGCGAAATCAACCAGTGTGCACTCAAGCATCTAAGTCCTGCGTAAGGCCAGTTCATCATCTTGTAGTCCAATGTAAACAGTCCAGGTGAAGCCTGACGAGGCTGTTATTATATGTTATTGGGAGGTGATCCTATCTGGATGAAAGGTTTGATCTGGGGATGTTCTCACAGCTCATACCACAGTGGCAGTAGTCCTAGCATGGCCCTTAGGTAAGCATGACCGTTTAGCCAGTCATGCTAGGTACATTCCATACTGCAAGCCTTGTGGAAAATAGGATGGGAGGGTGAAGTAGGCTCATGGGAACTCAATCCCATACTCCATGGAGATCTTGCAGACTGACACAAATGTCTGCAGCCAATTACAAATGCATGTATGTCCGTATGATGCAGCAACTGTTTTTGACATATTAGATTATTTCATATATTAATCCAGGTTTTTAACAGACATGTCATATACATTGTAATTTGTTTCTTTTCTGAAAAAGCTCTTTTATCATTTATTATTTGGCCAACAAGCTGAACATTTGAAGAATGATACCAGAGTTTGCTTACATTAAATCTAGATAAACATGGTTATACTACAGCTCCCCGTGCTTCAGTTAAACATACCCATTTCCTTAAAAGCACATCCCCAGCAACTGTCAGTCAATGCCGTCTGGCATTCTCACAAATCCCCCCTGCGCTTTGTTTCTCATATCTGATTAGCTCCCAGCCCTAATGAGTATACCTCGTCATATCAGCACATCCTTATCCTCTAGACATCTGACATGTCGTCTACTCAGCCCACAGAACACTTCCTAAACAAGGAGAACAAAACAGCCCCTGCCCAGGGCAGCATTCTCATGGCCTTTTACGTCTGAAGTGCCCAGTTGAACTTGACCATTGTTGAGATTCCAAGAATTTATATGGTGAATTGTGAGGCAGAGCAGTGGTGGTTGTCCAGTCTTTCCCAAATGTGCCGCGGGCCCACGACTTGTGAGGTGAAGGGGACTGACTAGTCATGTAGTACTGTTCTGGTGTTCGTTTCCCACACCTAGTGACTGGTACACAGAGAAATACTGTAGTGTGTCTACATTTCTTAACACGCCTTCCATCAACCTGTGCAGAGGACCAGTTGCAAGCAATTATACAAACCTAACAATGATAATGATGAGGATCTTTGGTACAAAACAGCTAAAGATGATCATTTCAGTTTGAAGTGGACTTTAATTACATGATCACAGAGGTGAACCTTGAAGTAAGAGGAGACATGACATGAGTTGCAGGGAGGACCCCTGTCTACTGAAGCCAGTATTGCAACAAAGGTCTCGTCACAAATCTGCCTGAAGTATGCTACAGAACGCCAACAATAGCTGGCAAGGAAGATATTGATAATCATAGTGATTCAATTTTTCTAGTCATCAGTCACTCTGGTGATAAATGTTACAAGTATCTGGTATTTAGATAATGTTGTCCTTGAAACATCACTCTTTATGTACAAGAAAATAATGTAGTCTACTTAAATGCAGCTCCTCACGGTGACTGTGTTGAATATTGCAGGTGGTTCTGTCATGTGGACGATGATAACTACCTGAACGTGCATGAGCTGGTGAAACTGCTGAACCAGTACAAGCACACAGACGACATCTATCTGGGCAGACCCAGTATTAACCACCCTATGGAGACTTTTGATAGGCATGAAAACATGCAGGTCAGTACTTTGTATCTTTATAGTCAGTGTCAAGTGGATTGGGCTATTGGTTTCTGTGCTGCTAATCAAGAAATCATTCAGAACTGTAACCAATTACCGGGTATTAGCAAAAAGGAGTGTTTGTTGTAAAACATTTATGCATAGCTGTTACAGTAATATCTGTGAAATTGATATCTAGATGTACATACATCTTGTACATTGTGTATGATAGCCATTGATATGGGTAGTAACTAAGTATATACTTGTTTGTACTTGCAGAAAGTGAACTTCTGGTTTGCCACTGGGGGTGCAGGCTTCTGCATCAGCAAAGGGTTGGCCTTAAAAATGATTCCATATGCAAGGTGAGTTTAGGAAAATGTATGGAAATAGTCACAGTAGTACATTCAGTTTGCTACATTTGTATAGACTAGCAATTGTGGATTTCTTCTATTGAAACATGAAATCCCGCACTCTGAAAAGACTACATTACAAGAATAACTTCTTGTATTAAAGGCTAATGCATCTGTTCCTTCCTGTCCTTCAGTGGCGGGAAATTCATGAGTTCCTGTGAGAGAATACGACTCCCTGATGACTGTACACTGGGCTTCATCATAGAGAGGTTACTAAGGGTCAAACTGGTGCAGATCCAACAGTTCCACTCTCACCTGGAGTGGCTCAAGTTTATCAAGAAGGAAGAACTTCCTCATCAGGTACCATCCTATCTATCTACTGAGTGCCTAATACTAGCTCAGAAAAGGACAAGAAATAGCCATGCCTTTCAAGCACCAGAGTTATGAACCAAGGATTGAGGTGTTCAAAAACTCATTCTTTCCTAGAACTATGGCAAAGCAGAATTTGCTGTCACCACATACATGTACAGTAGGTGCTTTATCATTAGATAGCTTTAAACAATGTTTAGAGTTAAATGTTCAAGGGTTAGGTATAAGAAGTCGTTCAGTGTAACACACCAGCTGCCGCCATGCCACGTGTCTGCGAAGCTGGTGTGTTACACTGAAGGGCGGTTATACCGGCTGTACCTATACAGATACAATCAGTCAATCAAGAAATAAACCTGTGAGTTGAGTTACTAATCAGGCTCTTGTATCTAGTCGAGCAATAATGTGACAAAAAACAGATTGTTAGACTGATTGTGACGCTGCCGGATGTTATTGTCAGGTCTGCCTGATGTTATTGTATTGTTCTTTCTGTGAGTGGTGAATATTCTTGTTTTTCCCAGGTGTCCCTGAGCTATGGGCTGACTCCGTACCGCGGAAGTGCCAGAAATATAATTGGCCTTGATGAGGTATTCAGTGAAAGTGATGATCCGACAAGGTAAACCTTCGTACTTCCAAACTGTCCCTCCATCAAAAGATTTGTAGATGAAAGCAATACACATCATGAGAAGGATTGGCAGGACAATTGTGTCTGTGCTGTGATGATTCTCTAAGGGGATGAACCATCAGACCTGTGTTAGCAGTCATGTGTGTCTGTCAGGCACATCAAGTAATCCTTACATGTACACATGTAGGTCAAGAGACTAAGGATTACATGATATACCTGTAGGGTCTTCTGCCTGAGCTTTGATATAATATCCTTTTAAGCTTTGATATAATATCCTTGTATTCCGGTGTCTTGCAGTAAATTTCCTCAAAATAGCTAAGGGTGGAAATGAAATTACAACTGGTGTGTGGCTTGCAACTTTGGGGTAAAAATACCACAAGTCCAGTTGTTCTCAATTCATGATTTTTCTTTCTATCTGTCTGTTTTGCAGGTTTAAGTCTCTGCACTGCCTGCTGTACCCGTATGTAGACCTGTGTAAAGGTCACGTGAGGAGAAGAAGATAGTTGAGACTGAGATTATGGTTCTTCTGTGACTGTAAGCAAATTAGACATAGATAACAGCAGCACAATTGTAACAATGCAGACCACAATGTGATAGTGCTACTCAATATGACAATACCACAAACAATGTCAAAGGATGAATCCTTTCTGTAGTTAGTGGTAGACATCAGTGTTCAGACTCATGAGAATAAATCAGCAGACAGTTTTGATATGATCACTATCTTGTTTCTAATACTAAGTGTTCTCCTTAGTTGGCAAAGGTCAGCTTGCAATCATTTTCATGTTCAACATTCCATTGCCATATGTACATGTGGTTACCTCTGTAAAAAGAGAATAAGTCAGATATTTCTTAGCCCAAATGTTTTTAGCTTAAAGGTTACCATAATGTACATGTCATTCACCACAAAGATGCATGTATGTTTAAACAGTTTTAACTGTTCACTGGCTCAGCATTTACAAACATTGTTTTAGACTACTTATTGTTTCTTTTGTTGTACAAGAGCTGCATGTATGTCAAAAAGCAGAGATTATCTTGTCCTATGTATGAAGTTGAGATTAACCGCAGTGTGTATAAAGTGCTGTAAATACTTTAAGGTTCGATCATGCTTTTTATTACTGTTTGAAGCTAGTGTAGATATTATTCTTAAGTACATAATGACTGCATAAAGTGCTTAGCAACTACTGCTGGAAAAGACAGAAGGATATGTTGGTAACCACTGTATTTCGTACACAATAATACAAAGAGGGTTGAAGCATCGAAAACCACATAGTAATGAATTGTTACAAATTTCTCATAGATGACTCCATATGAAATAAACTAAATCTGATGAAAAGAAAAAAAGGGAGAAAAGTTAAGAAAACTTCATCCTCTGCTGTCTGAATTTTGAAGAAAGAAAAGACGGGAAAGGTTTTTATGCTGACAAATTAAAGAATATATATATTAAGACAAGATTAAAATGATATGTACTGAGTTCTTAATGACACAGTCAAAGTCACTTTGTTGTGTAACTAGAAAATCACTATGTATGTGAAATAACACTGTTAAAGGCCTTCATTACACCAAATTAAAATAGATGTACTAAATCAGTGCCTTAGCCCTGAAAGGAAAATGTGTACATATAGAAGATTCTGTACTGTGGTACTGTATTTTGTCTCAAACAATATTTGTATGTAATGAAAACTATACAAATTTATTCTTTAATTTCCTAATGTTCCCATTTCGATGTTCCCACCACCCAGTGATCATTCACCAACATTGTCATGAGACTTAGTGATAGAGTATGGTCGGTGTTTTGCAGTGAAATTTTCAGCCATTTTAAGAGCATACATTATTAATGCATTTACAGGTTTTACATATTTTTATGAGATGAATTCCAAGATATGTTTGAGTAAAAAGGCAGCCCATTTTAGAATGGCATAATGATCATCAAAAAAAATGATTATGAAATGAGAAGTCCCTATTTTCTCTTATAGCACAGTTGTATGAAGCTGCTTAGTATTACCTTTTATCAGCATGAGTGGACCAGTTTTGTAAATATTTTGGATATTTCAATCCCATGACAGTTGCAGTCTGATGTTCAGAGTTGGTTCATATTGAGCTGTTATGTCTGATGATGATGTATTTTGTGTATTTATGAAATGAAATAAGTTGATCCTGAATTTTGAGACATTTCAGTGTTGATGATTTCTGTACCCTGTGTCTTGATATGAATAGAAATATGATACAAATCCTAGGGAGTAAACCCTGGCATAGAAAAGTCCATAGAAGCTAACACTCACTAGCCATGAAATCCAGTTGGAATGGCCCCTGTAGCAACGTGTAAATGTGTTTCCATAAAAAGAAATTTGATATGGTACAACATGATATGTTGTTAGGAAGTAAAACTTAATGTGGTTGATCTGAAAGTTTCTTAGATAGTACAAGTCAGAATGAAGACCAGTGGAAAGGGAGGCAGCATAAAGGTTAGAAATGGGGTTTAAACAGTTTTTTTAGGTTAATGGTGGTGCAGATTTTGCCATTCTGCAATTTTGTGAAAACCTTTTTCTGCAGTCTTTTTTTCTTTCAAATTTCATAGTTTTTCCCAACATTTTCAGTCATCCTAATCCTTGCTTTCCTTTATGAGTAGTTTTTCCACTGACTGCTAAAATATCAGCTTCGCTTCAGCAAAGAGAGAATATAATCAGCAGCACTGCAGCAGTTTTCTCCTGATCTCACTGATTGGCCCTAATAGGGCCGCCACGAGTGTGATTTAGACAGGCTGAGCCTGAGGCTACTGGAGGCTATCCCTGCAGTGTATCAATATGGACGTTAATGAGCAAATATAAAGTCAGGGAAAACTTAATTATCAACACCATTTTGGGAGTTAACGAACAGTGGGGATGAACTTTCACTTTTAAAGCACTGCTTGGTATCATGCTGTCACAAATAGTAGCATGGATATTCTTACATATTGGTCTGTTTCGTGTGTGACTCGTAGGTGTAAATCTGTTTAGGACAGCGCTAATCAGTTTCCTGGAAACCAGCGTAGCTTGCAGGTACAAGGTGCTACATTGAAGCATCAAGCAAGGTTCATGTATACAGATGTACAGTGTTTATTGGTGTGATAGCCCAGCATCTTCCCAATTATACAATGGAATTAAAAGGCATTAGGTGAGAAAGACCCAGGTTCTAATCTCTAATCCATTTCTAAGATACTGTTTTGTTTGGTAGCGCTCTCATACATTACTAGTCTTATAGCGAGCAATAGGAGAGCTAAAAAAACACACTTTCATCATTGCAAAAACTTAAATATTGCAACATTTTCATATTCAGTGATGAACATAGCAACAACACGAACAACCATGTTTTTATCTGATTAAGTCTTAAATGATAATTGATGGTATTACACAATTACATACATACTCCACAATGTGGTAAATCTCGATAAATAAATAAATAGATCAACACAAACATCCTTACAGCCATGTGTAACCATGGAAACCATCAGCAATTACCTGAATGTTTGCAGCACTTTCAACACAAAATCAAACGACTTTCTTGAGTGCAATTTGTAAGACCTCTGTGTCTTAAACCTTAATTAACCTTAATGTCATCAACCAAAGATGACACAGTAGATGTGTAAGTTACAGATGAATCGAAATAACACTTGTCATTTCAAGTGTCCGCGTAGCTTTCCCGTTTTGTATCGACCCGTTTTCTATATAACCACAATCCGTCCTTTCTAAACTGAATGTGGCAGTGAAATATTGCACATCTAGAACAGGAAGGGCAACCCTATATCCTCTAGGCTGAATGATGTGATATCTGGTCCCACTTCTTGTTGCATCATCACATCTTGCACGTTGGTGTCACTCATTGTTTTTTCCAAGTCGTGGCCTGCGCGTTGGTCGTACATGCAGGCCGGCAGTTTTCTGTAGCTGTCTTCCGTCAGCATTTGGAAGGATAGTCCGTCACAGTCTGGAGTGTTTTGGTCATACGCGGAGGTTGGGGAAGTGTGGAGGATGCCGTCGGTGGTTTGGTCGAGGATTGAGCTTATCTCGGGCGGGTTGGCGGCGCCAAAGGGCGGGCAGTCTGAGCCGAGACCGTAGAAATCCCCGCTGCTTGGCGTCCCGAGGGGAGAGTCGAAGAACATGGAGAATTCTGACAGGGAGTCATTGGAGCTGCTCGAGTCTGCTGCCAACGAGTCGAAGCCGGTGAAGTCGCACGGTTGTGGCGGCACGTCATCACTGCCGGCGCTCACCATGTCGCACAGCCGCATCAGGTTGTCGATGGCCTCGTCGGAAAGCTCCAAAGAGTCGGACTCGAAAGACATGTCGGAATTCAGCGGGTCACACAGCTGGTCAGGGTCCAGCAGCTGACCGGCAGGGAAGGCGTGGTCGTTTTGGAAGCACTCCCAGTGTTGGTTCTGCCGCTCTGGTCCAGGACAGTCTATGAAGTTATTGTTGAAGATGGCGGGGTTGATGGAGGGAACGCTGGAGGACGGTGTGGTACTGGAGACAGAGTGATTCGCTCTCATCTGTTTGAACTCTTTGGACTTGACGCTGCGGACCTTGGAGTGGAACTGGGGGTAGGCCATGTGTTTCTTGTGGAGCTGTTTCTCGATGAATCTGCGGTGGTTCACCTTCCGCTTCTTCAGTCCCGCCAGACGCCGCGGTTTTTCCAGCGTCCGCATGATGCTGGGTGGGGGAAGATTCCCATATTGTACGGCATTAATATCAGCAGCAACCAAGAGCAGACATTACATTACATTTTGTATAAAACAAGCCAAAGTGTGACGATATGGCTAGTTTGAAGTCATTTTAGCCAATATATATTATAAGCGATTGTTGACAATGGATTGGTAGTGCGGTCGAAAACAAGTAAATTACTCCACATGGAAGACTGAGCCATGCAGTTAAACACATTTCGACCCGAGGCAGCTGCAACGGTTCCCATGTCATAGTCACGAGGATTTCAAAACGAACGCTGTGACTAGTATGTTTTTGTCCTTTCTGTAAATTTCCATACTCATAGTACTTACCAGTGATAAATGATATAAAACATGGTGAATTGTGTTTTAGTTTACAGATAACGTGCGCAGATCGTTTGCTTGAACTAAATGTGAATATCAATCAAATCTAAGAAAAGCCCCAGTCTCACAGGTTTGTGTCTTCTGTCTAAAAGTGCTAGTGTATGAGTCTTCTTATGACCATGCGAATAACTATTTTACGACTAGCCTTGCTTGATGGATATATTGTCTGCAGTCTACTTTCCCACCTGTTTGATGCCACGTTGAGAAACATCAGGAGGTCGCACTGTGGATCGGCGGATGTGGACGATGTAGACGTCGGTGTGGTACCGGTAGTAGTGGTGGCGCCCGACGGCGGCCCATCGCTGACAGCGTCGCGGGAAAGTGTGCTTCCACACGGCTTCTGTGATTCTTGCCCCTCAAGACAAGTGGCAGTGACATTGTGCACGGAGAAACAGCTTTCGTTTGAAGAGTATCCAAGTTCGTTGACAGACGGGTCGCTGTCACTGTTAAAGGATGCGATGTTGTGTATCGACGGCAACTCGTAGCAGGAAGAATGTTCCGAAGTGGAGAAGAAGAAGGAATTTGCGTCGTCCATGGCGGTGGCTGTCCTTGCCTCCGGAATGCTGATTACGTGGCTGTCGCTCGGTCGGCTCATCTCTGTCGCGTTGGCTCGCAGGGGATGTCTCAGGGACCGGGAGACACGACAGGGACTGCACAAATGCCTGCGCGAACATAACCATTCACGAGATCGCTACGGGTGGTTTCCATGTAATTTCACAATTAGCGTGCTCCGCCCCTGCGTTCAGCAATCTTGTGTGGGTAGACTGCTCCGCTGCGCCGCTCTCCTATCAAGCCTAAATCACTTCTAGTCCCTGGCTATTATTTGATTCCGAAGCTCTGCCAACAATCAAAGAGCTGCCGTCTGGCAGCCAGGTGAGCTGATTCGTCCGCATCATCGCTTCCCGCGGGCCTTCCTTTTCCTACTAGGAAAGAATTGGCCGGATCGAGCAGAATAGATTCGCTTTGATCTTTGGTCATCTACTCGATTTGATCCGGCTTCGATCCGGACTGCTTTAATCTCCAAGCAGAGGGTGGCAAACCGTAACCAACCAACCAACCAACCAACCGACCGACCGACCGATCGACAGGCAGTATCCCTTTGGCCAGACAGTGACCAATCCGCCACCAAATATCTGCTTGGAGTTAAGCACTTCTCCGCCACAGCATGTGTTCATCCACTCACAGCCGCAAGCACACCGAGTAGTCATGCTATTTTTCGCTACACTTATTTGTAAACTGTCCCTTAGGCGTTTTCTTATAGATATCCGTATGAGTTGGTTGCTAAATATATGTAATCATCGCGTCGCTATAAAGCCGGATGTTCAAATCAGATTGAAATCTTGCTATAACTGTACCACCAATGAAATTCTCTCGCCAGTGGTAGTTACCTTCGCCAAGAAGGTTATGTTTTCAGGGGAGTTCGTGTATGTGTGTGTGTGTGTGTGTGTGTGTGTGTGTGTGTGTGTCTGTGTGTGTGCGCGATAACTTGAGAAGGCCTTTATGGATTGTCTTGATACTTGGTAGGTGGGTAGGTCTTGATGAGACCTCAAAATGATTAGATTTTGGACCCCCTAGCGGCTTGTTATGGTACTGCAGCTGAACTTCCGGTTTTGATATCTCATGATCTAGACATGCTATGGTGATGAAATTTAGATAGTAGGTAGCTCTTGTGCTGGGAGAGAAGTGACGTGAGTTTAGGCCCCCTAGCGGCTTGCTCTGGAACTGCAGGAATAAATTCTTGAAAATATTCAAAAGGGGATAATTCAAGAACCGGTTGACGGATCGTCGTGATTTTTGGTATGTAGGTAGCTTACGTGATGCTTAATATAATTATGTGACAATTATGCAAATATGGATGTAATTTGTGGGGAAATTCTATAAATCAGCTGCATTCCATGATAGGACAATTGAAGCTTGTGACATTGGTAATTGACAACGAGAGAAACACAGGAAGATGTTGATTATGTTAATAATGACTTAATTTGCATAATTAATGAGAAAATTTTATAATTATGTAATGATAACTGCCTGGAATTTCATACTTGTGGTATTTGAAAGTTAAATTGAGATGAACATCATTGAACATAATTTATTCAAATCAGGACCTCATTTGCATAATTGATTAGGAAATGCTAGAATGCATTCTTTGTTAATATAAGACTGTCTTTTGGCTGAGATTATGATAAAATGATATAATTAATGAAAATTAGGTTCCTATTTCTTAAATCAGGGGGGAATAATCTAATCTAAACTTTGTCAGTCATAAAGTTTAACATCATTTGGCGAAGGTATGAGATCGGGGAACTCTAGTTATATATAAGTCGGATTAGATTATCTTACCCATCCAAACCTTGGTGCTATATTTTCCTCATATTCTGTATAAATGTATGGTCATTGTGCTTCCTCTGCTGGATTCTTGTGACACTCGTGTGTTCTCTGACTGTCTGAGAATGCTGTAAGTCAAGGTCAACTGTACGTGCTACAAAACTTTGTCATATAGCAACGATATAGACCTTCACCTCCATGGAATGCAATGCAGGAACACATGTATATAATGGTGCATAAGTGTATCAATTCTGGTCAGCGAAAACCTAAGCATCTAACACACAGATGATAGTAACGGAACGAATCGAAGCCGCAGTTATCCTGACTTAAACAGATCACTGCTATCCTTCCGGCGCCTCAATATATCATTAGATTCGCCTAAAGATAGATCATTAATTGAATGTGCTCTTATTCAAAGTCTTACATATACCATGCATATACACCCAATTCATTAATGATATTGACGTTATGACATACTGTGTGGTTCTTGAGCTAAGTCACCATGTTATCAAACTACAATTACCCACTTTCACGCTTGTTAGAGAGCCTATTCATCAACAGTAATGGAGGCTTTGTTATGTAATTGCCGCTAATGACCGGAGGATGAGATGCGCGTACGATTCAGCCATCTTTAAAAAGATGATAACGGTTATCAGCGGGAAGCATCACTGTATTTTCCTGTCGAAGTGAGACGTCAGTACCAGATGCCTGTTCTCACACACGTACATGTTCACATTCCCAAGCAGATGTAGGGACGGGATGGATACTCCTCAAGCCGCGTGCACTGTTAAAAATGTCCGACGTAGACTTCCACAGCTCACGTGGATGGGGATATTCCAGGGTGGCTTCAGCTGACGATGTTTCGGCGGCAAAATCGTAACCAACCGACAATACTAGCATCCAGCCGGTCACCGAACATCTGCTTGGAGATTAGGCTTCAATAATCAATAATCCTCAATAAAGCCTTGTATTTTTTAATGCTTATCACTTCTTGGATAGACAATACATATTGAAGTTTTTTTCTCAGAACAAGCAATTGCGTTAGACTGGCCATGGCCTTATGTTATTATGACGTCAATGAAAAGTCTCTGTAGTTCCTTAATGGAATTTAAATGGGCCAATGAAATGTGGCGGTCTTCGATCCAACGTGGCAGCGAGAACCAATGAGAACCGATGTCTCATCCTGAAATGAACAGGTACAATCTCATCCAGCTGTTAATTGGTTGACTGAGGCAGGATCAGAAGATGTGTGAGAGGCGCTCCGGAGGTGAGTTTTCTTCCGTTCTTTACGGCAGAATTATGCTTAAGAATAATCCTTAACATGTACATTTCCCAGTGATATGCCTGTGTATGGAAGCTGTTGTCTGTCAAGCTCGTTTGTGAGGTGTTGCTGACAAATTGTTACAGAAACTTACTTGTTTTTTCATAGCCTAAACCTAAATCCTCACACTTATTCAGTATCTCACTGTTCAACAGCGTCACCTGGCTGAAAAGCAACGAGTTGCAGATCTTGATGACAGGGATCCATCTTCAGGTTAGTACTCTCATTGCTGTAAATTTATCACCTCAGAAGCAGTGTTCATGTTTTACTGTGGCACCGGTTCGATGTCCTGTTTTCCCCAAGTGGGCGCTTGTGTCATGTGGGCGATAGGCAAGGTATGTCAGCTGTCTAGCAATACATTGTCAGATTGGCAGGGCAGAACCCATTTGCCTGGTGTAAATAAAGTTACTAGTAAGGAAAGTCCGATAAAAACGCCTAAAACACCCACAAAATAGTACAAAGTCTAAACTTCTGTTCGGGGAATAGAATAGGAGGCCAATCATACACCTTGCCACTCAGAATCTGCCACTGTAAACCATACAAAGTGAGATGCTGTTGTATAGCTCAGCCATATATTCTGTAAACAGTGGACAAGAAGAATGGTGTGAAAACTGTACTTTATCCAGACTGTACCTTACCCAAGTCGCGCCTCTGCAATGAGCGACAAACAGTAACACACAGTAATTTAGTCTGTACTGTATTCGTAAACAACGGAACGTTGGTATAAATTTATGACTCCCTTCCCGTCAAACGTCATTAGACATATCCCAGTGTGTTCTGAATAGCGCCCTCATCACCTTTCCATCCGCATTTGTGTCAACAACGAAAAAAGCAATTACGTCTCTTTAATAAACTCAATTAGTGCAACGTGTTGGAGCATTTTGATAGGAAGAAAGCTCGCTGATATCCTCGCATCGGATCCCCGTTGCCCTTCGCCGAACAGTGTTGTGTTGTGTTCACAGTCCCGTAAAGAGGAACTTTCCACGAACTGCAGCTGGATGGAGCTGAAAAATAGAAAGACGACGTCGTGTACAGCAAACCTTTCATAGCCATTTAGTTCTCATAGCTACTTAGTCTCTCCCAGACTTGAGAAGCAGTTGAAAAGAGTAGACATTGGTCAAATAGACAGATAACATGCCAGAGGTCCGCCGCGGAGTACATTTGCCGCTCCAATTTCTACTCTTTCCAGTCGCTTCCGAAGCCTAGAAGCTAGCCTACGTACGTTTGTACGTTAGATATAGCTTGTATGAAACAGACGAAGGAGAGAATCTTTGTCTTATATCGTATTTGACGTTTTGTTTTAGAAGAAAATGTTTTACCTTCTTGTTCTCAGGGTTGGTCGGGCACGGTGGTCTGGGAACGTCGAATACTTTGGGGTCCTTGATGCCCAGCGTGACATCAGTTACGCCAAGAACGCTCAGGCTGGGTTCTGATAAGCATATAACGATAATGTCAAAGGGAAACGTCAGAAGACATCAGAAACACTTTTTCATTATCTTGATCTCAAAAAGGATGGTGTGATAACAGACGAATGTGTTTTGAGTCTAATCAAAATGTTGTAGTTGTCAGTTATTCTCAACGCAGATCCTACGCGTACACGGTGGCAGGACAGTAGGAGAGGAGTGTCTATTAGCCACTTCGGATCTGCTTGGAGATTAGTTGTCATTGATATATGATGTTATGCTTGCATGTACGTCCTTTCAGTGCAAGGATATGTGTAGTAGAAATACATGTGTTTTGTAAAAGATCACAAACAACAATACCCTCTGAACTGACTCTAACACATCTGATATAGGGATAACGTGTGTTGACAGGTTTGCATCACCTGCAGGATTGATTAGTACTTCCGTCAGCATGATGCACCCTTCTCTGGTCAGCTCCACAACTCCACTGCCGCCCAGGAGGGGGTCAACCAGAGACCACGAGTCCACTAGCAAACCCTCCATCCCTCCAAAGTGGAACGAGCCCATGTAAGTAGAGTTACCTAAGGAAAGAAACCACATTGTGTGCAGTTGCAATAACATGGTTACCGGTAACGTGTTACGTATACCAAATATCATTGGGGCATGTTGGCTCTTGGCTTCTGTAGGCCCTAGGTACAGCCTGGATTCCAAATGGTACTTCGCTACAATGCGATGTGTCATGGATGACTCAGGCCATTAACATTACTATTATTATGGTTGGTTTCTACTTCATGACTCTCGACCGGGACCTACGCCGAACCCACTCCCAGACATGCTTTGTTAGCAAGAATCGGAATTAGATTGACATTCTACATATTCATCTGGTATGATTGGATAGATCTTGCCAAAGCCTTGATCCTCTACGACTCATTGCCCGCTTAATCACATGCTTCATTTCTTGTTCGGGCATTACTCAATGAAAACGTCGCCAAACCAAGTTTTATAAGACTCAGAGCAGTAAAGGTTAATGATGCCTTTGATGTGCAGACGACCGTCTAGCTGGGGCCAAGACTGGCACTCGCTACTCCGGCGCCGTCAGTAATTTTCATTCAGTTGACCTATGTGATATGCGAGATTCTAATCGCAGAGAAAGTAAAAGGACTGTTTGAGACTTACTTGGTATACAGTTCAGCATGCCCGGGTTCATCATCATGCCGACAGTGCGAGACATCCCTGTGTATAGTGTACTGCTCCATCTATTTAACATCAATAGGACGTGTCAGCTTTAACAGATGTCCCAATCTAAATGCAGTCACTTGCCTAACGTTGTAGAGTTACTGGCACTACACATGACATTCTTCGGGGACACAATTTCCTGCTAGCAGTAAACTGAGTGCCAAACATACCGGGGAGTGCCAAAGTCCAGTCGAGAGCAAGTGAACTTTTTTGTAATGTGATTTACACAAGAAGAACTCGCGATTCTAAAGGGATCTCATGATAGCCTGGGTGTCAGCCTTGTTAGCTTTCGTCCCCAAGATCCACTACCGGCCAAAAGTACGTTACGTTCCTATGATATCCAAACACTTTTCTGATGTGGATACTTAGTATACTGCGTATACGGACTATATCTAGTAAAGTAAAGAAATGTGAGGTGCCGTACCGTGCTGTAGTCCATGATGACCTTGGTAGGGGTCGTTGCCCCCAGCACTTCCACTGCGATCTTCTTCCGTGTGAAATCATAGGATTCTCGGACTGTCACGTTCTGCAAGCCTGTCGTTCATTACAACAGTATTCAATGCTTCGAAGTGAGACAAACAAACAAAAAAACAAACAAACAGACAGACAGACAGACAGACAGACAGAACAAACAGAAGATGGAATATTTAGATTTGCACACCACTGAAACACAGACAACAAAAGATAAACTTGAATTAAATATTTTCATTGCGATTTCTAACCTATGAATTGGCCGGACTCGCGGTAAATAGTTGCTGTGCTTGATAACACACAGTCCTTGATTATAACAAAGAGTAACCTTACCTGGCTGTCCTGACGTGACATAACCCTGGATCATGTGGACGTTACCCTCCCACTGTTTGGGCACACAGCAAGGCGCTGGTATTGGGGGCTGGGCCTCGACACGAGGGGCGGAGAAAGCCGAGAACAATCCCAGAATGAAGACTATAAACAATACATTGTAATCTGAATTTTCTTAGATGTCATAAGGAGATTTACCTTAAGGCTTACCAGAAAGACAATAAAAGATCAGGAGTTTGACATTGGCCACACTAGACACTGCCTGGGCTCTGAGTCTGCCTCTTACCTGCAGTCGATGATCTCAACATCGTCCTGTAATGTGAGGCCTGAGCTTTCCGAATCGGGAAAACTTTGGACATTGAAATGTGACATTCACGACGTTTTTGTAGTTTCTTTATTGCTGACTTTGTCTTGCGTGACTATCAGGGTGTAGTGAAGTCATCATATGTGACAAGGTCTATGTGTGCAGTGTGTAAATGATTGAACCAGATGTACACGTGACTTACAGTTTGTTGTTGTGACGCTCAGGTATCAAATGTCGAAATAGCGGTCAGGTGTGGGCTCAGTACGCAGACATGCAATTACCTTCTTTATTTCACTACAGTAGTTCTCATTGGTTTTGTCACAACCATATCCCCAGCCACTGGGCTCCAATGATATGACTCTGAGGAATGAAATATAATGCCACCGATGATGACATAGTATGTACTTTATTACTGGTACAAGCCGGTACTGTGCCCAGAAATCAGCTCCCCCATAGTCGTGCATGGTATGTCTTCCCATTGCCGAGGTTAATACCAGGGCAGCATCCCCGAAGAGGGTGACTATAGGGAAGACAGGGAAACATAAACATGGAGACGAGAGATGTATCATACCGTAATGTACCTTAAGATTTATATCCACTTCATAACAGGGTTGAACAGAACGCCCCAAAGATTACGTTCAAGGAGACCACGAGGTTTTGACTTGTCGACCTTGATGCCTAAGTGATAGGTCTAGAGGTCAAAGAGGTCAAACCAATCACACTATATGTTTACGCCGGAAGGTGTTTTAATCATTAACTACAGCCACCGCTATCGTTTCCATGTGCGCAGACTTGAAGTAGTCTTTTCAGGTTATTGAGCACATTTATGTCTCAATGTCAATCGGCACCGCAGGCTGTGTCATGCCATTACCGGTAACTGATGTGTACATCATTCACGAGTCTTCAATGATATGGATTACCTTTTTGGAGAGGCCACTTCACTTCAATGATGCCTGCGCAAGGTACGGATCCTAGTATCCCCTCCCTGAAGATCATACTACTTTGATTTCCAAACAGCTTTGTGGTTTTCGCTCTTTTATGAGCTTTCATCTATGTTTTTTTGTCGACACAAGACGATCAGACAGATGCATTTGAAAGGATCCTAAGTCATCTGCCAGTGCGTGGACTTTGCCTTTCGTCATTTGTTCTGATGTACAAAGGGGACTCAGGATGGGGGTCGTTGACCACATTCATTACACTTCACTGCTACGTAGACAATACTTCCAACCGGAATTAATGTGTTCTACCGTATAATTCCGGGGTCAATAACACGGATAGACTTTCCGCCACGCCAACAAATTTTAGCACTGATACTCTCCAAAGATGTACTGATGCTGCTTCGTGGCCAGTAAACGGTCAATATCACTTCTCTGAGGTACCTTATATGCCGCTGCCTCGACACATCTCAGCTTTGCTTCACTCTTGATAGCAAATAGATCAACACTCTGTGTCCATCGGTTTCAAGTCAGTATGGTGCTGGCAGAAGATTGGTGATTCTTTACCCTTTTCATGCAGCACAAATTGGCAAATTCATGAGGCGTAGTATATTTTGAGAAAGCAACTTGAATTTGAGAACCTTTCCAGAGTCTGATATGTTGGCTACGATCTTGATAGTGAAACTACTGATGTAACGACCTTGACAACACGACCAATACATTTATGATACCAGTGTGTCATTTACCTGAACGGATACCAATGTACTGTTATATTTCAAAGTTACATGTTTATTTATGATGGTAGAGTTAAACCACAAAATACAGGAAAGGCAAGGAAATTGGTCTCCAGCTTTTACTGCCACAATGAACATGTTATTTTCCATGCATGGTGCAGGCTTAAATCAGATTTTCGATTCCACCTTTGGTTGTATCTTTCCTGTCAGCAGGGTTCCAACCGCGTCTCCGGATGTTCCCTTGTTATCCTCCCGGCGTGGTTTTTGTGCTCCGTACAAAGCCGACTTTACGTGGCCTGGGCACGAGAACGCAGAGGATCATCATTGTAATGGAAGGCGGGAAACTACTTCGGCCGAAGTTTGAAAGCAATCATCATCATCATCTATCGGCTAACAGCCGGGACTAAGCTAGTGCAGATTTCTTTCCATACAGCCCTATCAAGCATTACATTTTCTAAGTCATCAAAGTCGATTCCAGTGTCTCTAACTAAGGTATCGGTGAATGTCAAACTTCTGGAGTGCACTCGTCCACGTGGTTTCCACATGAGTACAGATGAAACAATTTCTTGCTTGGCTCGGAGACAATGTCCAGCGAACATAACTCGACGGTGGGTGAGTTTTTGAGACAGTCTTGGGAGTCCTCCATAAATTTTTTCGAGAGTGGCATGTTGCCTCCAAGATATATTCTGTGCCCTCCGCAAGAGTTTTGTATAAGTCCCGTCCAATCGTTTTTGAAGCTGACAGGTAAGTGTCCAACTTTCTGCACCATAAAGCAGTATCGGTTCTACAAGGGTAAGAAAAACTTGGACTTTCAATTTGTTAGGGATATTAGACTTCCAGATCTTATCCAATTTGTTGCATGCTTCCCATGCTAGGGCTTTTCTAGTTTCAAAATCTTTCCTTGGGCACATAATGAAGGAACCAAGGTATTTAAAGTTTTCTACTTTTGTAATGAGTGCCCCAGACAATGATCTCAGTTCTAATGGTCCA